TTTAGTTCCAAAATTGGACAACCTCAATGAAAAGCCAAAACCTGGAGCCAACTCCTTGTTTTCTTCCTCTCTCAACACTGTTCCTAGCCCACAACATTCATGTACAATCTAGACATCATAATCATCACCAACTATAGAGGCTGCGGATTCAATTGAAACTATCGCTTTTTGTTCGTATTATTATATTACTCCTTTTGATTTAATTTATACGCATATTATTCTCTCTGTCCGAACTCATGTGATACTAATATTTCACTGAATACGAATTTTAAGTATAAAAATGACTTTTAAAACTTATATTGTTTAAAATAAATCATAAATTTCTTTTATGAAACATCATATTAAGAATAAAATATGAAATTTGATTAAATTATTACTAAATATGCAAAAGTATCACTCTATTTTGTATTGACTAAAGATAAAATAAAAATATAGCATAAACTGAACAGCGGGACTATATATTGTATGATTCCAAAATTTTATTGCTAAAATAAAATGTTAAAACTTACATTAAATTACTTTAAAATTTAAGGAATTAAAAGATTTCATTTGAAGATGAATGGAGTAATATAAAAAAAATTAATATACGTAGATCCTAATTTTCGGAGTAAAGATGATTAATTAGAGATTTTATGAAGTTGTAAGTACTTTTTTTTTATAGGAAGCACTTTATTCAAAATAATATTTTCTAATATAAATTAAAATTGGTTGAGCTTCAAAACAAATACTCCTAATATTATACTATACTGAATAGAGAAAAAAAAAACTAAAAAAAGAAACTCGTAGACCCCATGCTTACCTCTCTAAATCCAAAAACTCAAATCACCGCCATTTATCCTTATCCTCTTCATCACTCCTACTCTCTTTCTTTCTCCCAAAATCCTACTGCTACCTCCCAACACCCACCTCCAAATTAAACTTCAAACATCTTCCACTTCATACTACATCAATTTTCCCAACACACGGCTCTTGTTTATTTATCTGTTTTTTTTTTTTGGTTCACTGTTGGATAAGGAGAATGAAGTTTTCTGTAGTACAAACCAGAAGACTATTATTACAAGCAAATACAGAGACTACTACTACTACTTTGCATTCAACAATGAGCTCCTCTGACCCAACTTTCCAACCTATGAATGACTCTGTAGCTTCAGCAATGAGCCGTCCCTTTAAGCTCACTGCCCCGTTCGACTCATCTATGGCGTTAACTATTCTCGTCTTACTCACTGCTCTTTTTTTCATGGGCTTTTTCTCTATCTATATCCGCCACTTCACTGCCGACGTAACACCCGCAGACCGACGCCGGAGAAACCTATCTCCGCCGTCTACCTCCGGTCACAGTTCTTGCCGGAAAGGGGTGGACCCAGCTATAATACAGTCGTTGCCTTTGGTTTCTTATCGTGGACCCGCGGAGCACCTGATCGAGGACTGTCCAATTTGTTTAACTGAGTTCGAAGCAAGTGAACTCGTGAAGCTCATTCCGTACTGTCGGCACGTGTTTCATCAGCAGTGTCTTGACACGTGGCTCGCCTCGCATGTGTCGTGTCCGCTCTGTAGGTCTACACAGTTTTTTAAGAAGGCGGATGAGGTTTGCTTGGATGTGGTTGAGGTAGAGAGTAGTAACGGTGGGAGTGGGATATCGACGGTTCAGGAATGTGACACGTGTAGGAATATTAGGAGATCGTGTAGCTATTCGAACTTGGGAAATAGAGTGGCATTGCACAGAAGTGCAAGTTTCTGAAAAACAATTTGTGAAATTTGTAGATATTTTGTAAGTATACTTGTGTACAGCACTCAAATTGACAGATTATTGTGATTTATTTTAGTATAAATTTTCTGAATTACTAGATTTGCAAATGGAGGCCTAAATTTTTTTTACTTATTGAAATCAAGTTCTATTGGTAGACTTGGAAACAAATATTCTTACAGCTAGAATTTAGTAATTAATGCATTGATTAGGCTAGATTAGAGTATTTTCTTCCTATTTTTTTTTTTTTTAAATCGTGAAGAATCTTCACTTTTTTTTCTTTTCATGATTAAGGGTGTGTTTGCTTATCGCATTTTCCACTCCTTTGCTTGAACTGTGTAAAGAAAGAATATATTGCCGAATAAATACATTTTTATTTGCTTGCTTATATTAACAGCTTATTATTAATTTGATAGGACTGTATAAAAGACGATTCCTTGAAGCAATTGTAAGTAATTGCAATTTCTTAATGTCTCTTTTTCTCAGATGCTTCTTACTTCTTCTATTGCACTTTGAGCATTTTGGAACGATCATTTTTCAACAAAATACTATCTAGTGGGTTTGATTAAAAATTCAATAAAATATTGTCAATACCAAGTGTACAACTTGAACGTGTGGAATTGATCAAAACTCCTCTCCTCTCCTCTCCAGGCGGATTTTCATTGTAATGAACGGTTCAACCAAACTCAGTAGTACCAGTTCAGAAAATAAATTAGGATCCAAACTCATGAAGTTCAAATCTTAAATCTATCCTTACGGTTTCTCCTTCAAAGATTTAGTTTACGGTACGTGTAAAAATATTTGAAAAAGTTGGCAACATTGTTTGAGCAAATAATTGCTAAACTAATTAGTAACAAGATAATGCGGTGAATCTCAATTGAGCTCAATAAATTCTAGATCAAATAGAGCGAGATTCTTGTATAGTGAGGAGAGTTTAAGAGCATTAATTAATGAGTTCAATATACTAAGATTGATGAAATATGTAATATCATAAATGTACAATAAATGCAAGAAATGACAATTGATTATAGCGTAAAGAAACTTTCACCCAATGATTGTATGATTGGGTGTTTCTTCTTTCTAACGATATGAAAAGGTATGCAGTTGATATAAATGCGGAATCTTTGAGATTTATGGATGAAAGTTGAATAACATGTGGTTGAATAAAGTGAACAAGACAACTCTTTCGTATATTTTTCTCTCAACTTTACAATATGATTCTTGGTTCCCAAAAAGGCAAATCCCCCATTGGTTCTCTCTCTCTTCCTATTTATAAGGGACATTCCCCAAAAAATCCTAAAAAAGTATAACATAGAGAATATCCAAAGGAATATTCTTCTTATCTATTTCTGAGTTAAGTTACTATTGCTATTCTATCTTAGCCGCCCGCTTCTAGTCGTCGGCCTTTATTTGGACGACCGTCGGTCGCTGTATCGCAGTCGGCTCCTTCCTATGTCCTGCTTATCCGTTACCGTGGTTACAAAATTTGGACCTATACAGTTAGTCCCTCCGCTTGTTGAGGTCGTAGCCCTGCACGTCCTTGATAAGTGGACATCATTCGTTTCCGTCATGGGAGAATTTGGCTGCTAGAGTTCGCCGGTTTGACCAAGATCCAGAGAGCGACACGTCCTGCGGAACCCTGATTGATGTGGTTATCAGGATGTGACGTCACTCCCACGTGCGTCATTATTGCGCATCTTCCCGAGACAGCGTCTGAATGCTTGTCGCTTTGGTTTTAGTGCCATTGGCAGTCTTCTGCTTCGACTCTCGCGCCATCCAGCCCTATAAATAGGTGAGGGTTTCGTTTTTTTAGGAATTTTTCGCCATTTCCTTCGTTGTGTATACATTATCCTCCTTTGATCATTTTTCTCAATTCTCTAGCTCTGTTCCTGTGGTTCTGCTTCCTGTCTTCCCGTTCAGTCATCGTTCCTCATTTCAGGTTTACTAGCACACCTTCTATTACCAAGATGCCCCGAACCTTCCGTGCACAAGATGAAGTTTCTGACGCTACTCCGTTGTCTGTGGCCCCTCCTTCCGGTGGCGAGGATATTGCGGCTGAGGAAGGTCACAGTTTTCCTACCGTAGAGGAGATACTCTCCAGAAACCCTATGTCCAGGAACGATTTCCATAAGGAGCCTGCTCCTTCTCCCGTTCCGGTGATTTCTGAAACCGGGCCATCTCAGATAGATGAACTCCGGTCTACATACAATATTCCTCCCCATGTCGAGATGGTTCCGGCTGGGAGGGACATTGTGGAGGTCCACAGACCGGGATATTGTGCTTTTTACGTGTATCCTTTCGTGATTGGTCATACCCTCCCTCTTCTTCCGCTGGCGGAGGAGTTCTACCGATTTTACGAAGTTTGCCCGGCACAGCTGTCTCCGTACTTGTATAAAATCTTTCTGGTGCTGACGAAGTATGCAGAGTTGGCTGGGTGTGAGGTTGGAATTGACCACCTTTTACATTTATTTTCCTTGAGCTTTCATAGGGGTACCATGATACATCTACGACATCGCGGGACCAGGGGGTTGGTGGTTGGAACAGATGATCGGGCGAGCCGGAAGTTTTGGCACGAGTATTTTTTCATCAAAACGGAACACTTGGTGTCGGACCCTACTAGATTTCCATAGCAGTGGAATCATAATCATAGGTGACGGTGATGTACGCTTGTTATCTATTTTCGTTCTTTCTGATTTTTTTTCACCCGTGACTTTTTCTGTACAGCTAAGAGACGTGCACCCTTTCCCGTCGTCGGTATTGAGGATTAGGTAGCTCGTGTACTACCTCACATGGTGGGGATTCAAGATTGGGCCGCTTTCTTCAAACGCTTTGGACCGAAGGTTCCGTCTGGTAAGTGTTTCTTTTGCTCCGACCTTTGGTTGTTTGCTGTCGTTTATTGATACGACCTCTTTGTGATAACAGGCCGACGGATTTCCAAAAAGAAGGCTCCAGTCCTGGCATTTCGCCAAGCCGTTGCATCGGCGGGGAATCAGTTTGCTTTAGCTGAGTCCGCCCGCGGAGGTTGTACTCAGACTGTACCAACAAAGGACCCTCTTCGGGACGTTGTTGTATGGGACGAGATCTCTTCCTGACCTACCTACCACCTTATAGATGAGTCTTCCAACGGGGATGAATCTCTGTCGAGAAAAAGGAGGAGGGTGGAGTTCGGGAAGGCCGTCGCCACCGATCTTGAAAAGAGAACAATCGTTGCTTCGAGAGTAGCGTCTTTGCCTAGGTAAGGCACAGGGCCGTTCTTATGGCGAACGCCATTTTGGCAGGGAGGTCCCTTAGGGACGAAGAGGTATGTCAAGGCGGGGGACCTATACGATCTGCTGAAGGCGGCGCGTCATCTGTTGACAGAGGAGATGGAGCAGCGCATGCGGAGGACGATGGTTCAGGCGCGGACATCGATCCCGAAGATGTGCGAGCTTTCTTGGAGCGACATACCCGCGTGAAGTGAGGACGGAGGGCCCTAACCGACACGTAATCATTCCTGCGAATTACGATCTTTTGGCGAACTCTGAGCAGGTAGTGTCGGCATTTTCCCCTTTGTGTGATGCTTCCGAGAACACGGCGCTTCAGGCGGTGAGTGACACGGAATTATCGTGGAGTATTTCCGGCATGGCTTTGCGGGTAAGTGTTTTCACTCTTCCCCTCTTTTGGATTTTTTTTGTGTGCGTAATCTGTTTAAGTCGACTTTCTTTCCTCTGTATATCAGACTCTCATCATGGAGATTGAGCGCGATCGGAGGGATGAACGGGGGACGACCGTGTTTGGAAAGTTGGCCTCTAAGTACAAAGAGTATCGCACCAAGCACCGTGCATTGGCCGATGTCTTTACTCAAGATAGCAATTTTCAGCTGTTTCGTGATGGGCTTAAGCAAAGAGAGGAAGAGTTGGTGCAGAAGGTTGAAGAGCTGAAGGAGCGGGACGACGAACTAATGAGGGCCATTGGTCGATGTAGCGAGCTTGAGGTGGCCCTTAAGGCCAAGGATGATGTGCTTGAAATGAGCAAGGGGATAACGGCCAAGAACACCGACCTTCAGGCTCGGGTGGCCGCCTTAACTGCCGAACTTGGGTGAAGAGAAGCGGAGGCTGTCGACTTGAGGGGTGAATTGAGCGCCAAAGCTGATGACTTGGCTCGTGCTGAAAAGGGAAGGGTGACTGTCGTATCTGAAATAGCGGCCCTGGAGGACGCCCTCCGTGTTTGTAGGTCCGAGCAGGACAAAGAGGTGGAAACGTCAGCGCTTAAGGTGGCGAGATTAGAAAAACGGATCCAAGATCTGGAGGCGGAGTTGTCTGTGTTGAACGATCAGGTTGTTGCTTTGAAGGCAAAGGAAGTGTGACGGCAGTCGCAACCCTCCGCGTCTCATATCTCAGTTGATCCCGCCGTGCCACGGGAGTTGTATGAGATGTGCGTCCATGCCGAGGCTCAGCTAGACGTATACAAGTCCCTGCAGGCTAACGGGAAGGTTTCCGAGGCAGAACTCGAGGGTGTGCGTGTTAAAGCACGTGCAGCTCGTGAGGCCTGCGGCTATGATCTCGGTACGCCTGGCGGAGATGATGTTGATGATGATGATGCAGACTGGCTCACCTCCGATTCTTGGTATAACAAGGAGTATGCTGCAGGAGACGACGCGGCGTAGGACTGTTGTATTTATTTTGTTTTTGCTTTGCTATTTTTGTGAGGGCGTCTCCGAGCCCTTTGTACAAAACTTATGTAATATAACAGTTGCAATGGAATGACTATCTTTTTGTTGTTTACCTTCACATTGCTATTTTTGTTTGTTGTGAGGGGGTCTCCGGCTTTTCGGCCTCTCGTGTACCTTTTTGGCGTGGTTGATTGTAGATCTTAGTAACTTGAGCATAGTTGAATTTAAATGATTCGGGCGAGGTTGAATGTTAAGTAGTTCGGGCGAGGTCGAATGTTAAAGAGATTCGAGCGAGGTCGAATGCTAAAGTAATTCGATCGAGGTCGAATGTTAAAGTAATTCGAGCGAGGTAGAATGTTAAAGTAATTCGAGCGATGTCGAATTTTTCTTTTGGCGATGGCCCTTGTCCATAGGGGTGTTATTTCGAGTTAAGGTCAAAATGTTAACCCGCTGAAATTCGAGCGATGTCGAATTTTCATTTGGCGATGGCCCTTGGCCGTAGGGATGTATTTCGAGTTAAGGTCGAAATGTCAACCCGTTGTCATTCGAGTGAAATCGAATTTTTTCTTTTGGCGATGGACCTTGGCCGTAAGGGTGTTATTTCGAGTTAAGGTCGAAATGTTAACCCATTGAAATTCGAGCGAGGTCGAATGTTAAAGTAATTTGAGCGAGGTCGAATGTTAAAGTAATTCGAGCGATGTCGAATTTTTTCTTTTGGCGATGGCCCTTGGCCGTAGGGGTGTTATTTCGAGTTAAGGTCAAAATGTTAACCCATTGAAATTCGAGCGATGTCGAATTGTTAAGTGATGGAGAATAAAATATTGCTTTATTTCACTCATTGGAGAATATCTTGGTGGAGAGTACAAAATGTTGCTTTATTTCATTCATTGGAGACTATACATGTTCGTTTCATACTCATATTGGAGAAGTTTCCATGTATTTAGTCCCTTCATCGTTCGGTCTGGAGAGACAATCGGCAGGCGGGGCGATGAATTATATTTTGAACTTTGAGACGTCCCCTTCGTCGCCTCGTTAAAAACCTACACGAGAAAACCCAATTGGGACAAAACCCGGGCGAGGGAAAAAGAGTACGATTTTGAGGGGCGTCCTTTTTCAGAAGTTGAAGTATTTGAGGTGAGCGACGTTCCAATTGTTTGGTAGTAGTTTTCCTTCCATTGTTTCTAGTTGGAATGTTCCTTTGCTTGCTGTTGTAGTGATTTTGTACGGCCCGTCCCAGTTGGTTCCTAATTTGCCTTCCTTCGGATCTTTACTTGCCAGTGTTTTGGCTTTGAGAACATAGTCTCCGACTTTGAGTGGTCGTACTTTGACCTTTTTGTTGTAGTACCTTTCTGCCTGTTGTTTTTGGGATACCATTCTTATGTAAGCCATGTATCTCCATTCTTCTGCCTCGTCGAGGTCTTGTTTTCTGTTCTCGTTGTTGTCCCGTCCACTTTCATTGGAGTACCTTAGGCTAGGTTCTCCGACCTCAACAGGTGTCATGGCGTCAGTCCCGTAGACTAGTGAATATGGCGTTTTGCCTGTGCTTATTTTTGGCGTAGTGCGGAAGGCCCATAATACCTCTGGTAGCAATTCCGGCCACAAACCTTTAGCGTCCTCGAGCTTTTTCTTTAAAAAGTTCAGTATTGTCTTGTTGGAGGATTCGGCCTGACCGTTGCCTGCGGGATAATATGGCGTGGAGAGTATTCTCTTGATGTTACATTTCTCGAAGAATGCGGTGGTCTTTCTCCTGATGAATTGGGGCCCATTGTTGTAGCTGATTTCTTTAGGGATGCCGAAACGGCATATGATATTCTTCCATATGAATGCGATGACATCTTGTTCGCGTATTTGGGTGAACGCACCTGCCTCCACCTATTTGGAAAAGTAGTCAGTTAAAACTAAAAGGAAACGTATCTTACCTCGCCCTGCTGGGAGGGTCCGATGATGTCCATCCCCCTTTTGATGAACAGCCATGGCGAAGTAACAGAGTGGAGGTGTTCGCCCGCTTGATGTATCATAGGTGCATATTTTTGACACTGTTCGCATCTTTTGACATAATCTGCGGCTTCCTTTTTCATAGTGGGCCAGTAGTATCATGCCCGAATAAGGCATCTGACGAGGGTTTTGTTGCCTGTATGGGCACCGCAATGAACTTCGTGTACTTCTTCGAGCACGCACCTTGTCTGACTCGGCCCTAGGCATTTAGCCAAGGGACCGCCGAACGTTCTCTTGTAAAGGCCGTGATTTATGAGGTTGTACCTGGCCGCCTGCATTCGAAGCTTTTTGGCTTACTTTTGGCCTTTTGAGAGTGTTCCCTCCTGCAAATATGTCATGATGCGGTTGCGCCAGTCCCAAGTCAAATTTATAGAGTGTACCTCAATTCGGTCTATTGACGAGTAGATGAGGGTGACCACATTATCCTTGGTGATATTTTTGGTTGTTGCTGCCAGTTTGGCGAGGCCATCTTCTTCGATATTTTGCGCTCGGGGTATCTGGTCGAGTCGGCATTCATCAAATTCTGGCAGTAGTTTATGGATTTCTGCCTGATATTTCTGTAGCCTTTGCTCCTTGATTTGGAAAGTCCCGCTAACTTGGTTAACAACAAGTTGCGAGTCGCATCTGAGGATGACTCATCGTGCTCCGTATTTGAGGACTAGCTTTAATCCTGCAATTACGGCCTCATACTCGGCCTCATTGTTAGTCATTTCGGGGCACCGTATGGATTGGCGAATCACTTCGCTTGTTGGGACTTCAAGTACGAGTCCCAGTCCAGATCCCGACGCATTAGATGCGCCACCGGTGTAAAGGACCCAGAGGTCGGGCTATCCAGGAGAGGTGCGAAGCGTTTCCTGCTCGACCTCGGACAATATTTCGGCACTGAAGTCGGTGAGTACCTATGATTTTATCGTCGTTCGCGGCTGATATGTTATATCGTGATCGCTCAATTCTATGGCCCACTTGGCTAATTTTCCCGACAATTCGGGTTTATGCAGGATGCTCCTTAGGGGGAAAGTCGTCACCACCGATATGGGGTGACATTGAAAATATGGTCTGAGCTTTCGTGAAGCTACGACCAGTGCCAGAGCCAGTTTCTTAAGGTGGGGATACCTCGTTTCGGCATCGACCAAGGTTTTGCTGATATCATAAATCGGAGATTACGTACCTTTGTTTTCGTGGACCAAAACTGCGCTTACCGCGACTTATGAGATTGCTGGGTTGACTAGGAGGCGTTCGCCGGGTTCTGCTTTGGCAAGTAGTGGTGGTGAGGAAAAGTATGTCTTTAGTTTTCTTAGGGCCTCGATGCAGTCTAAATTCCATTGGAGCCCGTTGTCTTTTTTCAGCACATTGAAAAACTTATGTCATCTGTCGGATGACCGTGAGATGAACCTTGACAGGGCGGCTATCCGGACAGTCAGCTTTTGTACCTGTTTTTTGCTGGTTAATATTTCGGGTATTCCTTCGATGGCCTTGATTTGGTCTGGATTGACTTCGATGCCTTTTTGTGATACCAAGAAACCGAGAAATTTGCCCGAGGTCACGCCAAAGGCGCATTTTTCGGGGTTTAGCTTCATTCCGTACCGTCTTAATATGTCGAAGGCCTCTGTAAGGTGGTCGATATAGTCCTCTTTCCATTTGGATTTGACCAACATGTCATCAATGTAAACTTCCATTGTTTTTCAGAGTTGGTCTTTAAACATCTTGGTGACCAACCTTTGATACGTGGCCCCTGCGTTCTTTAACCCGACTGGCATAACCTTGTAACAGTACGTTCCCTGATGGGTGATGAAGGTAGTTTTCTCCTAGTCTTCCTCCTCCATGAGGATTTGGTTGTAACCCGAGTAGGCATCCAAAAAGCTCCGCAGTTCGTGTCCTGCTGTTGCGTCGATGAGTTGGTCGATATGAGGCAGAGGAAAAGAGTCTTTCGGGCATGCTTTGTTTAGATCTGTGAAATCCACACACATCTGCCATTTCCCGTTTTTCTTCTTTACCATGACCACATTTGCGACCCATTGGGGATATTTTGACTCTCGGATAGAACCATTGGCGAGCAGCTTATCAACTTCATCGTTGACGGCCTCATTAATTGCGGCGTTAAATTTTCTCCTTATTTGTCGCACTGGTGGATAGAGCGAATCGACATTCAACTTGTGCGTAGCGATGTCTTTGGGGATGCCCGGCATATCTGAGTGGGAGAAGGCAAACAAATTGGCATTGTTAGCTAAGAATTTATGAAATATACCTGGTTCTGTGAGATTGTGCCCGATATAAGCCTTTTTGTGTTGTCGCTGCTGTTTAGTTGGACGGGATCGAGATCTTCTACTGTCGACTTAGCGGCTTCCGCGATGTCGGGATCCTTGATAACGTATATCTGTGCGTCGGATTTGGTTCCCGACATTGCTAATTGTTATGCCTCCACGCTTGTTCCCTTTAGTTGTTGGGTGTGTGTGCAATCTTGGGCGATACGATAGCATTCTTGAGCAGTGCGATGTTCGCCTCGGATACTGAATACTCCCCATGTAGTAGGGAACTTGATTACTTGATATAGGCTTGACGGGATGGCCCTCATGGCGTGTATCCACGGTCGTCCTATGATGGCGTTGTAGGCTGTATCTTGGTCCATGATATGAAACATTGTTTCAGGGTGACTCCTCCGGCCAAAATGGGTAGCGTTATTTCTCCAGAAGTTTGCTCAACTGCATTATTAAAACCTGTTAGTGTTATGCAATGCGGTATTATCTTGTCCTCGAGTCGCATCTGTACGAGGACTCGAGGATGGATAATACACGCGCCGCTTCCGTCATCTACCATTATTCTTTTCAAATCAGTATCTGAAATACGTAAAGTAATGACAAGAGCATCGTAATGAGGGAAAGTCAAACCGCCGGTATCTGACTTATCGAAGATGATACTGTCTTCGAGGTCATCATACCGTTCGTGGGTGATCGACCGCTTGAGTTTGTGTGTAGTGGAGAATTTAACATGGTTGATTGCTGCTTCGTCGCCTCCGCTCGCGATCATTTGGACATTACGAGCAGGGGAGGGTGGCTTTGGAGGCCCCTGGTGCTATTCACGTCCGCGGCCGAAGTTGGCTCGCCCCCGGTCGCTCATTAATTCTCTCAAGTGCCCTTGGTTCAGCATTCTCACTACCTCTTGCCGCAGACCTATTCAATCCTCAGTTTGTGGCCCCGCTCCTGGTGGAATTCACAAAGGGCGTCTGACTTCCGAGTATTCGGGTCGGACTTCATCTTTTGTGGCCATTTCACCTTCGTGCCGAGCTTCTCTAGTGCATACACTATTTCTGAAGGGGAGACACAAAAATTGTGAGCAGATAAGAGCGGGGGCATACCTCTTTCGTTTCACTGAGTCCCGGTGTGAGGCCTGGGAGGCCCTTCCGGGTGTCGAGGAGGTGGTGGGACGGCTGTTCGGATGTAGGGCTGATGTCTTTCTCAGCGGAGACGGGGACCCAGCTGATCCCTTCAACCGTCAGTACGACGAACTTTCCTCGATTCTACTTGAACTGATGTCAGCCGCTGGGTCGGACCGTTGAGATCGTCCTCGTCGGCTCTCACCTCGGCGCAATAGGCATTGTGAATTTCTTCCCAAGTGGTGGGATGTATTTCATGATCCTGTTTAATAGTTTTCTAGTTGCTCTCGACCTGTTCCTGCTTAACCCGTTCTGGAAGGCTGCTACCGCCATCCCCTCTGATACATTTGGCAGGCTCATTCTCACCCTGTTAAAACGGGCGAGGAAGTACCTGAGTCCTTCGCTAGGCGATTGCCTAACGGCGAATATGTCGTTCACCCTGGCTTCCGCCTTTTTAGCTCCTGCATGAGCGGTGACAAACTTGTCGGCCATTTCCTCGAACGTTGCTATTGACCGTGCCGGCAATTGTGAGTACCAGGTTAGGGCTCCCCCTATTAGGGTTTCGCCGAACTTCTTCAGTAGCATCGATGGAACTTGCTCCTTCGAAAGATCGTTTCCCTTCACCGCCGTGGCGTAGTGGACGATATGATCTTCTGGGTCTGTCGTGCCATCGTATATTTTCAGGTATGGTGGCATTTTGAAGGTTTTGGGAATGGCATGGGGAGCTGCTTCCTCATTGTACGGTTGCTCGACGAATCGACCAACGCCTCATTTTGGTAGCAACTTTGGGGCGCCTGGTATCTTGTCGACCCTTGCTTGGTGCTCCTTCATCTGGTCACGGAGTGCCTTGTTTTCGTTTTCCATATCTTCCATTTTCTTTAGAATGGTTGTGAGTGCGTCATTACCTGCACCAGTTGTGGTGTAAGTGTTACCTGTTTGGGGGACGGACTGCTCGCCAGTTGTTGTTGTGATATCTAACTTGTGCGGTGTTTCTATTCTCTCTTTGGACGGGTCTGTCGAGTATGTTGTTTAGAGTACTTGTCAGCCATTCTTCCAGTAGCTTTTTCACTGTCGGTGGTGCTTCCTCAGTTATTGACGTGGAGGCTCCTTTTTCGCGTGAAGCTGTTACGCTTTCGCGAGGGGGAGGTGAGACGCTCCACTTGGGCGTAGCATTTGCTGTCGCATTCTCTTTGTCTTCTCTGCCATCTTCGTTGATGGTGTTCAAGATGTTGGTGGTGACACCTACTATCGTTTTCAACCTCGCGTCTTCTTTTCCTGCCATTGCTAGTTTGTACAAACAAGGAAGAGATTTTTTTATGATCTAGAGAGAATTATAGTTTCAACAAAAAAACTCCCCACAGACGGCGCCAAACTGTTTGAGCAAATAATTGCTAAACTAATTAGTAACAAGATAATGGGGTGAATCTCAGTTGAGCTTAATAAATCCTAGATCAAATAGAGCGAGATTATTGTATAGTGAGAAGAGTTTAAGAGCATTAATTAATGAGTTCAATATACTAAGATTGATGAAATATGTAATATCATAAATGTATAATAAATACAAGAAACGACAATGATTATAGCATAAAGGATCTTTCACCCAATAATGGTATGATTGGGTGTTTCTTCTTTCTCACGATGTGAAAAGGTATGCAGTTGATATGAATGCGGAATCTTTGAGATTTATGGATGAAAGTTGAATAACATGTGCTTGGATAAAGTGAACAAGACAACTCTTTCGTATATTCTTCTCTCAACTTTACAATATGATTCTTGGTTCCCAAAAAGGCAGATCCCCCCTTGGTTCTCTCTCTCCTATTTATAAGGGACATTCCCAAAAAACCCTAAAAAGTACAACATAGAGAATATCCAAAGAAATATTCTTCTTGTCTATTTCTGAGTTAAAGTTACCGTTGCTACTCTATCTTAGTCGTCCGCTTCTAGTCGTCGGCCTTTATTTGGACAACTGTCGGTCGTTGTGCGGTCGACCCCTTCCTATGTCCTGCTTATCCGTTACCGTGGTTATCAAATTTGGACCTATACAAACATTTCGTGAAAGACTCTCTTTGACATGCCAAGTAATACCTTGCACTACACTCAAATCCTCATAGCTGATTGCTCAAATAAGATGAAACTAAAATTTTAAATAACAGTGTTACTATCACATATGAGGTCTAGTATATTCGTTATTTGAGCAACAGGGACTTGTATTCCATGTGTCCATTTACTTTGTTAGTGATTTTAAGCGACAAGCACGAGACAATGGTGATAGTAAAAACTCACCGTCACAGAATGATAATTACTACCAGGGATGTATAAACCGAACTGGAAAATCGCACCAAATCGAAAATCAAGCCAAACCGATTAAAAAACCCAATTAGATTTGGTATTGAATAAAAAAATTCGAACCAAACCGACATATAAATATATAATTTAAGACTTTTTATAGAATTTTCTTTAAAAAATATCTAGAAATATTTGTGACTCACTTATGGGATGTAATATTTAGTAGTAAAATATAAAGTGCTCCATATTTATTAACTTTAAATAATGGGTTGTATGATCATTTTTTTTTATCAAGTGTTAGTGACATGCGTCAATCTTCTTATTTTTTCATATTCATATGTCAAGATCTATTAAATTCTTATATTTTTTCTGAATTTAAAATGGTATGTCGATAATTTAAAATTAAATAGAACATATCATATATAGGTTTATATATATTTTTATGTTTAATTATTAAATTCGATTAGCTTGAAAATGCATATCAACGTAAAATTATTGTCAGACAACTAGAAAATATCACGTCTTACTAAAAAAATTCTTTCATAAGAATATTTTAACAAAACATATATTTGTCAAATTTTTCAATTTTTACTAAACATATATTTACTTATAAAAAATTTAACAAAGTAAAAGTTAAATAATATTTATATAACAAAAAAAAAATCTAAAAAGCCCAACAAAACCGAACCAATCCAAATCAATTATGCCCGGTCCATGTACATCCCTAATTACTACTACATTTCAATCTCAAGCATGTTATAATTGATTATATGAATCATATATCACGGTACATTTAAGCTCATTTCAATTCAATATAATAAAAAAGTAACTAGCTCACATCCTAACGATTTTCCATGTCCTTTTACTTGTTAGTGATTTTAAGCGACAAGCACGAAATAATGGTGATAGTAAAAACTCAATTTCACAAAATGATAACTATAACTACACTTCAATCTCAAGCAAGTTAGGATAACGCTTCATTTAAGCTCATCTGGATTCAATATTATATATAAAATTAAATAAAAGGACTACAATTCTTTGGGATGAGTTAATGTATAATGTTATATTACACTTTACATTGGTAGTTCCTCATCCTTGTGGAAGAGATGAACAAAAGGATATGATGTGTATCACCACTTGGTCATAATTTAAGGGGCAAAATATTCTGTATGATGGAAGGGTTTTGAAGATCCATGGCCCAACTTGAAGCTTCTAACAACACACAGCAATCTACAACTTGAATGCTGGGCTATTAAAAATTACAGGCTCACACAGATGCATGATCAAAGAAAAGTCTTTAATCATTCTCAACACTCGATGCTTCCCATAGCACACTTGCTGATCGCTGTAGCAATTTCATAAATCTCTCCTGGCTTAAGGTTATTCAAATAACATCACATAACACAAGCCATCACAAAAACTTATGACTTCCCCTGTTAGCTATGTCAGGCAACCAATTTGTCAACACACCGATATTGGAGATTTTCGACAAATGAAAAGTTTCACCCGCTTATTTTGTTTTCGACAATAAATCAGATGTGCAAATCTGCATGTCCAAGTGTTCAGTCAATGAGAATATGAATGAAAAATGAAGAATCACAGATACACAGAGCAAATCAACAGAGGAGGAGAGAATTACCTACACTAAAGGAGCAAGACTGCAGGTGCCAAGGAAAATCTTTATTTCAATATCTATCTTCTCTCTCTGGTATATTATCTTCTACTTGTTCTTCTACTATATACCAATTACTGTATAGAGAAAGCTCGGATCACCTCAACTACTGGTGCCTGGCACATTGGACACTTGGCTTTTTCATGGACCAATTTTTCTGCGCATTCTGAACATGTGCACATGTGGCCACACCTGCACCCAAGAAGGAGAAAAAAAGCTCTTTTAGGACCAAACTAAAAAGAAGAGGTGTCCATAAGACTGCCGAAAACAGCATGATTAAACTTGAGGAATAGATGAAGGACAACGATGGTTCATAGGTTCACTTCAAAGAGTAAAGAGAGTCAGAAAAGCATCATGTGCACTTAATAATTGAAAGGAGGACAAGGATGTTTCATATTTACCTGTACAGCAAAGAATCTATATTGTTATTACAACACAAGCAACATAATCCTCTTCTCACTTTATCCCATTTGGATTCATCGTTCAGCAGACTATCCACACAAACATCCACATCTGATTAACCGAAAAACAAATCACCAAAAGTGATAAAAGCTTCTAGCTGTCAGGGATGAACTGTATAAGATAGATTATCTACAACTCGGGAAGAGAAAAAAATATTGTAATGGACACAAAACCCACAAAGGCATGAAACCAAACCTGTTGAACCAGCACACCGATTTAGGGCTGCAGAAACTTCTTGGCGAACCAACCGCTGCAGCTCAACTTGCATTTCCATGCATGTTTGAAGCATCTTTTGCATATCGTTCATCCTCTGGTGAAGTATAGCCATGTCAATCTTCAGTTCATTGATGATATCCCACTCCTGCAAAAGATCAAACAGGTACGAATTTCATTGTAAGAACTATGATCATGTAAAACAAGAGAAGGGTGCGACTATGTTGAGTTTATTAACGAAAACATGCTTATAGTGAGAAGTTACTATGTCTACTAAAAACTCAAAGTAGAACAAAGAAACGGGGAACATATCCTAACTCGCAGATTCAGCATGTGCCTTTGAATACCAGAGGTGCCTTAGTTACAATGATCATCATACTTTTTGCACATGGACGCTCCAACAACAAACAGAAAGCAACTACTCTAATCAACTTCCTTAAGAACTTCCAGTAGTTCATGTGAAATGAGAGAGACTTACTAATTCTCCCATGCGCTGATGTGGATTTTGGCGAGGCAAATTCTGATCCTCGGGTTCCTGATTCCAATGTGGCCGAGAAGGTGCCTCTTGAGGTGGAGTCATAGCAAAGGGATTTCCCTCCATATTTATCTGAGGCCCATCTCGAATAACATTCTCCTGCTGCTGCTCGTGCTCTGCATCAGATGGGTATAAGGATGCTTCATCCATATCCCAGTCAAAAGAAGCATGACCTTGTCTTTCAACATAAGATTGTATTAGCTGGTTTAGACTCTGACGGAAACTGCTATTAAGCAGATTAGAGACGCGCCTCCTAAAGCATGAACAAAGTTGTTAATTACGTGAAACTTCACTAAATGTCATACAAAAAATGCAGAGTGCGAAAAGATGGGGGACTTTACCTGCTTAGAAGTTCTCGGAGTTCAATGCTATAAACATTGTCGTCATCTGGTATATAAAATGTATCAACTCTTCCAATGGATCCATCATCCTGGCCAGAAGGCGTGTCAAACCAATCATCAATTGCCTCTTCATGCCACTCATCGTGTGGTTCTTGTGCATGGTTTTGTTCTTCAATGCCACTTCCCAACCTTTCCGGATAAGATTGATTAGGAGCACCTTCCTGCGAATCTCCACCCATGTTTTCTGTGGGGTCATCTACCCATTCATTCTGAACAGCATACAAATGTTGTGACTCACTTTCCTCGTGTTCTGTTACAAATATCTCTGGGTCTTCCACTTGCTGCAAATTTCTTTCTTCGTGCTCTGCAATAAATTCCTGTAGCTCCTCTGCTTGAGCTGATGAACCTTCCCAGTCATAATCTTCAAAGACATTTCTCTCGAAGTCACGAAAAAGACCATCTACCACATCACGAGAATCACTTGCTTCACTTTGTGGTGCATCATTGTCATGGAAGGTTGCATGGTATTCTTGTACATGACCTTGCAGATTGCGTTCAATAGCCGCAGCTTCGGGCAACCATCCATCACCAGCATTTTCCACCAAGTTTCTATTGCCATTATTTTGTATTTCAGGTAAACTACAAGAAAACTCCAAATTCGACGTGGCTTGCTCGTTATCTTCATCTCCTCCAGCTTGCTCAGAAGTTACAGCTATTTGGTCAATGTTATATTGATGATTCACATGCTCAAAAATAGTGTTTTCTGAGTTCACTACCACATGAAACCCATTGATCTCTCTCTCTTCATTAGTAAGTTCAGCTTGATCATAGCATTCGTCTATTACCTCTTGTCCACTATTTGATTGAGATGGTTGAGGGTCATACTTTGCAGAGGATGGCTGCATATTACTTGTAGAACCACGCACATTATCGTCCAATCTGGACAAAATTTCTTCCCTGTTTCAAAACATTTCATGTGTCAGGTAAGACTGTTGGCTAGAAGAGATTATGTTTGATAAATACTATTTATGTGAATAAATGCACCTTTTGGCTGACAAAAGAGGACACTAAGCTAATATTACCGCAGAGCGAGAGCAACTCAAAACATGCAAACAGGCAGGATGCAAAATTCGAAGATTTATCAAAGGAAGCAACAAAAAAGAAAAAGCTACCAAGCAGTTTCTAACAAAGAGAGTTGATGGGTTATAATTGTGAGAGCTAATGTTTTGTCAAAAAGAAAAAGAAAAGAGATCAAGATAGAACCAATTCTCCTCCCCCACTCCCCACTCCCCACCCCCCACACACAGGGGTGCACGCAAAAAATTTCGTAAGCGGTAGCGACATTTAAAAGTGCACAACTCATTTTAACGACATTGTATTTTTAAAAAATCAGATCATATTAATAAAACTTAATTCAAGTTCATTATTACAACTCACCTCAATGAACTTACGATTTTTGAAATATATTTATAATAGCGTCGAAATATATTCAACTTTTGTTGATACGAGGCATTTGTACATGCTAAGTGGTTTTGCCGCACTTCTCCTCCCCCACTCCCCACCCCCCACACAGGGGTGTACGCCAAAAATTTCGTAAGCGGTAGCGACATTTAAAAATGAACAACTCATTTTAACGACATTGTATGCCAAAAAAAATCAGATCATATTAATAAAACTTAATTCAAGTACATTATTACAACTCACCTCAATGAACTTACGATTTTTAAAATATATTTATAATAGCGTCGAAATATATTCAACTTTTGTTGATACGAGGCATTTGTACATGCTAAGTGGTTTTGCTCGCACTCACCTTTGAATAGGTCAGGGGTTCAATCCCTTCTGAGCACTATTTAAAAAAAAAACGAAGTCCAAAACATTAAGCAAAATACAGGTCGAAATTGAGATTCGAACTCCCGACTTAAGCTAGAGAGAAGAAGCGTTCAACCAGTGAGCTGAGACGTTTTATTTGTTAAGTGGTTCATTTTATATTATGTAACTGCTTTCGCATATTAATTATATGTGTATTTAATATAAAAAATTCGAACACTGCTCGGCCTGAGGTAAATCCCTACCCCCCCCCCCCCCTCTCCCCCGGGGTCTGCGTGCACCCACTGCCTCTCCAACCTGCTAGATAAGTGAGTTACTGCCTCTGAAATAGCTCATTACTTTGAGGTGGAATAAAAACAAAAAAAATTCTAGAGAACAATACTTAAAATTTAGGTCCACTTTTTACCTTAAATCAGACACAGTATGTCTTTGCCTCAGTAAGCCCAGCTCACTTGCTGCATTTGAAGCAGTTCTTTCACCATTTGTCAATCTTCCATTTTGCAGAAACCTTCCCTTGAGTAATGACTGCAAACACAAGGTTTTACTGCATTACGAGCAAGCACAAGGTTGCAAATAATCTAGAGATGAAAGTCAGAGAAGCTGAATGGAAACAAGGACATGACACTAAGGACCCCCCAATTTCTTGAAGACTAAGGATAAATATGTTGTATGCACATCAATCTTGTTATGCATGTTGATAAGCTACAGTCAAATAATCGACGTCATAAAATTTATTATCAAACAAGTAATCGATAGATCAACATGCCTTAATCCCGAACAAAATTGAAATCGGCTACATGGATCCTATATCAACCATTCCGCTTAATTGGGGCCCAATCTCTTAAAAGTAATACTTAATAAGATTTCATGAAGCAACGTTTAGTCAAACTGGAAATTAATATTGCGATTTTTAAATCAATTCTACGATATTAGTTTCATATTACTAGAGAGAAAATACTAATTTCATATTATTAGTGATTCAGATATACCTTGATCTACAATGCAGCATTGTGACTTGCGACCAAGTAGAGAGACACATGGCACCTATATTTTAGCACACTTTTTAGTTAATCATAAATAATTACTACTTTTAAACACCCCCAAGGATATTAACCATTATAAAGTGAAGTATTTCATCTTATTGTGATCAACTTTAGCTAAGTGAACTTGCACGAATGTTAGCAAACTTTATCAATCTCCTTGTTTTTGTTTAGATCTTTATCGTTTTCCCTCTTTTTCCTAGCATTATTTTTTTTGCATTTGTTCTCAAGGACATGAGAACAATGCATGTAAACCCCTTCATGAAGCCATGTGATAAATCTTGAAGCTTTTCTGATAACAATAGACTAGAACATATTATTATCACAATCAAGTTTAACTTTGATGTCATAAATAAGGAGAATTCTGTTCCTCACTTTCCACGTATGATATACAGCAGGAGAAAGGTAGTAGTGCAAGTCCTTGCAATATTGTTATATTCTAGGGGGGGAAAGGAAAAAGGAAAGCATTTCTACTGAAGCCTAACCTGAATCCGATTACGATAAGCAAAGTCTGATACAGGCTTACACTCCAACAGTCCCTGAAGTTCTTTTTCCCTTTCCCTCTGAGACCTCATCATTAAATCAACGAGAGCTTGTCTGCCACAGAGTCTTCTGCGCAAGGTCTTTCTCTCTCCATTTTGTGAATGATCAACCAACAAACCATCACGCGCTTGTTCAGATTGAGAGCCGGTTTCAGTAGCAACTTCATCTCTAGGAGAACTTGTGCCACTCTGATGAATATTCGTTTGCACCCGCTCCCTTATGATTCTCACCCTTCCGTGTTCATTTTCCCCTAAACACTGTGTCTTAGAACAGTTGTTCACATGTGAGACATTTAATGACTGTGAATGAGACTTTCCACCAGTGTTCATCCACTCCTGAATAATCTGCCTCACTCTTTCGCGTTCAACCTCCCCAAAATCACTAGATTGATCTGAGCTAACACTTCGGCCATCATCAAAGTAATTGTCCAGCTCGATATGGCTTTGAGATGTACATCTTTGATTCTGGTCCTCATTGGCACCACAGTCAAAATTCTCAACGTCACTCCTCTGTGGTCTTTGCCTATCTCCAGTAGGAGCATAGGAATTACTCACGACGTGCTCGCCCTCAAGCTCCCTCCACATTTGAAGAATAGATGAAGCCCGGGTTCTCGGCCTATCATGTTCACCCCGTTGCCTCGAGACCGAGGGCTGAGACTCTATAAATAAAGAAGAACCAAATGCAGAAATATTATGCAAGCCAGCAACAGCCATACTCTTGCCCAGGTTCAGTGCTTTCAATTCGCAACCATTGTAATAATCACCCAGATCTAGGAACTGGTCGATCTGTTCATGATGCATCAAGATTATGTTAATTATCGCAAGAACTAATTACCCGCATAGCCAAATAGTCATTTCCAACTTAAGTGATATATTTATAAAGCTAAAATGCACCAAAATCAGCAAAATTCAAAAAAAAAAAAAAAATACAGCCCATGATTCTGTTGCATAGCCTGATATGCACCAGGATCCAATATAAGTATGTAGATTGAATCATAAGAAATAACTTGATATTTTACTTAACCACAAATGAAACAAAAATTTATCCCCAAAACCTCCCAACAAGTAATCCAAAGAAAACCTTTTCCTTTTTCTTTTTCTTCTTTTTTCGCTGAATGGGCCTAAAAAAAGGAGAAAGCGTGATCTGACAGATCTTCTTTTGCTCTGACAAAAGGATAAAAAGTAAAATTCAAATTCAAATCTGAGAAGTACTACTCCTTCAAAACGGCAAAACATTCCACCCCATCAACTCAGCTTCACCCAGAGAAACAAGAAAAAAAATAACACTAAGAATTCAACTTGAAGAACAAATTAAGAAGATTTCCATAGTGTTCGCAAAAATCTCTTAATAAATTTACATAACAGAAGTCAAATAAACTATTCTGAATTCCAATACAACTGGAAACACTGGCAAATTAAGCAACATGAACTGTATAAAGCATGTTTTGAACATAATATTAAACAATGCAATACCACAAAATATCAAAAGCGGACAGAATATGATTCTTCATTATTGAAAATTGTGGAAGAAAGAAAATGAGAACTTACCTTTAGCCTTTAACAGCTCCTTTGAACTCAATTGTTGACTCCAGACTCAAAGAATCAAAAAAACCCACCAACCAAAAGACAACAAGGTTGCAATATGGTGTGTGATTTTCAGAGATAATAAAGAGGAAAAAGAGAGGAAAAAACAGTTTTTGGTCGAAGAGAGAGAAATATAAGAAGCTAAAAATGGAAGGAGAAATTTATTAGGAAAGAAATAATTGAAGGAAGGGGACACGTCACTCTTTTTGGCCCATTTATTTATTTCTTTTCTTTAACCCCTGAGCTTTCGCCGTAGCTCTAACGTCTATTTTCCTTTTTATATTTTGGGGTTGTACTTTTGGCCCTTCAATTTTTTCATATTAAATCCAACTATTCAAATGTGATGGGATGTGCAGAAGGGGATATATTAAGAGCTTGTTTGGACATAAGAACTTTTTTATTTTTTTCCGAAAAAATTTTAATTTTTGTCGAAATTAATGGTTGGCCATAAAATTTTTAAAATTTTTACTTAGATCACTCAAAAAGCTTCAAAATAAATTTAAAATTACATTCTTATCCAAACACAGCTCTAATTTTTAAATAGCACTTTTCCTTGAAAAAAAATTTCACTTTTTTTTGAAATTTTACAATTTTTATGTCCAAACGTCCGCTAAGATTCAAAAAAGTAAATATATAAAGAAGGGGATAAAATACGTAACCTCAATCAAACGTCATAAGGTGAGCATACTCGTCCTAAGATTGCCAGTTATATAACCTATCTAACTTCATATGATTATATAATGGTAGATCATTTGTAAAAATTTATCTTGTAATAGTTGACTTAGTATATTTAATTATTAATTAATTAATTAAAATATAAATTTTTGATTCCTATATATAAAAAGAAGTTATGATATTTATAGTATTTAATAAAGTTTAGCCTCATATATGAATAGCAACATGAATTTGACGTAATACATCAATAGTTTAGTGCTTGATAATTCATTAAATTTGTGAAGAACTGAAGATTAACAAACAAATAAATTAAAAGTCCACTTATCAATAAATTGAAATATATTAAACAAAAACTTCAAGGACAAATAGGAATTTATCAATATCTAAGGGACTAAAAGCACCAGTATCCTTTTTCTATCTTTTTGTTCGTATGGGAAGGAATCGAGGAAATGGGTGCTTGCCACGTGGGTGACTGTTATTTTCAGCAGGTGATATTAGCAGGACTTTTTTTTTCTTTTTCACCTTTGCCTTTTTAGCTTTTTCTTTAATTCAACGGTAAGCTGTGGCGCGGGTTTACAGTGATTTCCCAACGACGTCGTTCTCACTTCATTTTACTCTTATTATTTCTAGAAATTCTAGCGTTTGCAAGTTGCGACAGCTATTGACTTGTCTGTCCGAAAAGATATTTCATTCATGAGAACTATTATTATTAATTTGGTAATTTAGCACTTGGCAGTCGAATTATCAGATAAACTTCTAGCATTAGATTGGGATATACATTATCATGTATTTGTATAGAATGTTAACGTCTTATTATAAAAGATTAAAAGGGGAGCCTAAAAATTATGCTTTTTTCATATTACTTATAAGTTTCGCTTTATTGATGTTTGCATTAGAGTAGGTTGTTTACAACACATCCCTTTAGGCGCGGCCCTTTCATTGACCATGCGTGAATGCGGAATGCTTTGTGCATGGGGCTGCTTTTTTCGTTAACATTTATGGCATCTCTATAAAGCACTGTTTCAGGGAAGGAAACGAGGCGGCAGACTCGCTATTCAAATTCAGTTTCTGATAGCCAATTGTTCTTCAATGAAACTAATTTGCCTAATGAATTGAAGCCAGAGGCGCCCTTCGAATGGACAGAATGCAAATTCCAACCTTTAGGATAAGGGCAGAAAAACATTCTGGTTTGTTCTTCGAACCACCATAAGCACCATCGGAAGAGATACAATGTACTCGAATCCTCATTCGTCCGGTAGCTCTTTCCTCTCCTTTCTGTAATGTGCTCGCACAACCCAAAACCTAGGCCTTAGTCAATTACTGTTACATGTATTTGGCTCTTTATTCCCGGAGGTTTTGGTTTTATGTCCTCCTCCTTTGTATCTTTTGCTCATCAAATAAATAAGGTAGGGATCCAGCAAGCACCTCAGGATATGAAAACCTTGGTGAATGGATTAATAAAAAATAAAAATAAAAATTATAGTTAATGAAAGAAATTTACTCACACACGTTTATATCAATTCAATAGACACATGATAATGTCTTTACATAAAATTTTGTCATCTTGATCAATTATAGTTAATTAATATGTATTGTCACCTCAATTTTATCATTAATAATGATAAAATAATAAGATTGGTATTAACATTAGGTGTAGAAACTGTCTTTTCGCAATGCAATTGTGAGTAACTTGTATATTCATCACTATGCTTAAAAGAAATTAAGTGGAAAGCCATTAAAAAATTAAGGTTTCATGTATGATAAAATTATTGAGAATCAGGTTTTATAAACCCCATAGATTAGGACCTAACTTTAATTTGAATTTTACTTAAAATATGTTTTGAAATTGCTCCTTCCTAGCATTACCTTTTAAAAGGCATATACAACATGACCATTTTCCTTATAATTATACTGAAATGCAGGCTTAATTTCTTGACTCTTTCTTTCTCTATGGCTTATATAGTACTGTCACATGAGCTTAGAATTGAAATTTGAGGCTGCTAATTAAGTGCAGTTACAAATCCTACAGCTTAAACGACATGGTTCAAAGGATAAATGTTAAAAAATATCCATATTAGGATAATTATAATGCGACTATACCAGCTGCTGATAAAGGGAAGACAGTATTTCATGTTTCCGGCTTCTATACACTCAAAAGAAGAAATTGTGTTGTGAGATGAGTAACTAACTATATACATTCAATAATCATTTGTCAACATCGTTCTTAAGTCAGGGCAAAAAAGAAAGAATCATAGTATCGTCTATAGGGGTGTACATAGATTGGGTTGGTTCGATTTTATCAAAATCAAACCAAACCAACTATATCGGTTTGGATTGGTTCGGTTTTATCGGGTTTTCGGATTTTTTTATTATATGAATATTATTTCAATCTTACTTTGTTAAAGTTATAATAAAGTTTTGATAAGTGAATATATGTTTAGTAAATATTGAAAAATTTGACAAACATATGATTCAATAAAATATTCTAATGGGGGAATTTTTTAGTTACACATAATAGTTATTTTCTTAGTCGTCTAACAATAATTTTTCGTTAATGTATGCTTTCAAGGTTAACACATGAGAGGATCCCAAATATTTCTACATGGTTTAAAGAAAATTCAATATAAAGTCTTAAAAATAGATATAAAATTTATATATCTATATGACGGTTTAGTTCGGATTTTTTATTCAATACCAAACCAAATCAAACTAAACCTAGTTGGTTTTTTTAATCGGTTTGATTTGATTTTTCGATTTGATACGATTTTCTGTTCGATTTGAACACCAATAATCGTCCGAGCAAGGAATACAGAAACCGAGTTTTGTCAATTAAGGCGGGCTCAATAAACTTGAAATTACTTGTAACATAAGTGAGAAGGAACGAAAGGACCATCACTTGTTGATGTTAATGGTAAATTTCAATATCCTTGGGCCATTTTCTTGCAATAGTACAACTTTCATAGTTGAGAATTGGATTAAGTTAACCCCCCCGTTTAGCCATAGATTTTGGGTGCTTTTTAATTTAACGAAACAAGAAAACTCGTGAACTTGCATTTACACAGATTACAAGATTTTCACTAATAAAGTGGATCCCATTGTTAATTACTTCCTACAAAGTCGGCTGCTTTTTAATAATTTTTGTTATCGTATGTCATCAATCATCATCACTCAGAATTCAATTACTCCTAGCCACTAAATTCTCTTCTTTAAGAAAAAACTTAATTAAGAATGGTCCAAATCATAATTAAAGTCACAAGAGCACTTGATGTGTATATGGAGGTTTAAGAAGTAGAGAATGGGACAACGCTAATTATGGGTTATTAGTGACTTAACATCTGAAAACTTGTTCATTATCATATTATATATTAACATGTTGTTGACCCCATTTGTTACTTTAGTACAGCACTTAGTTGCATTTCCAATCATCAAATCATTATAGCACTTTTCTAAATAATGTTTGCAGCTCAAGAGAGTTATGTGGGCTTTTTGTCGTTTCAAAGCAAAACAATTTGCGTATCTAATGGAAAATGTTAAAAGGAGTACTGATAATGTACCTACGAGAAAAAGAGAAAGAAAAAAGCAAAGAAAGAAAGCTCTGACCAAAACTGAATCTTGAGAAGACTTTCACCAAACACATGTGATTTTCAGCATGGAGAAGTGGAAATGTCTCCTTTTTTTAGTACAATTTTGTGGCTTGACAATTTTGTGGCTTGTTTGGGCATGAAATTCCAACTAGCACCTAATCTTTGATTGGATCTATCAATGGTGGACTAGTTGAAAGTTTATAGAGAGTCCATTACTCAAATGGTCACTCAACTATTCCAAATTATCTCCTAAAATCACTTTACTTTCGTTTGTAACAACAAAGTCACTGAACTATGTCTACACTCAGAAGGTCACTCAACTAGATTTTTCAAATTTTGGATTGCCAAATACCTATTTACCTTCTAAATTATAAACATTTATCTTCTTTTTATTTTTCTAATAACTTTTTAAAATTGTGATTTTTCCTTTTTAATTTATATTATGGACTTACCTATGGAATAAATAAATATTATTTATAAATTAAAAAGTATTTAAGCATATATAATGCTGGAATAACAAAATTATGCTCAATTATATTATTATGTTTCTACCAACTTTCCGAGGACACAAAGTTATGCCACCGGAAAGCAGGGGGACTATCTGTATAGGATAAAATATGCAATGTTAAGTCGTGCACGGAATATATATAACATAATTGAGCATAATTTTCAAGAATATATGTATATTATAAAATACCTTTATTTAATAATTATTTTTATATTATGTGCATGGAATATATATTTTACAACCTTTATTTTCTTTCATTCTGAATTGTGTAAATAAATTTTTGAATTTTTGTTGTTAATACTAAAATTATTATTACTAACAAATTATTCTAATTAATATTTTTACTATTCTCATTATTTTATCATTCTAGGATTATATATGC